ACTCCTCCTCCGGTCCCGGGAGCGCGGACTCGGCCGGGGCGCGGGGCTCGCTCCACCTGCTAAGTGGCGACTTCACAGGAGACAACAAAGAAAGAAGCCGCTCCTTTCTTCTTGCACCAAATTACGGATGACCCACAGCCAGCCGGCCTGCTCCTTCCCCGGCCGCTCTCCTCCCTCCTCAGGCACACATTTCGCTGCTCGTCCTCGGCAGCAGGAAAACTTTTGGAGTCCTTGAAGGCGGGGCGGTGCTGGCTGCCGGCGCGTGCGGAGCAGAGAGCGGGCTCCTGCTCTCCCTTCGGGTCCGCGGCTCAAGTTTTGTCCTGTCCTAGGAAAACTTCCTGCGATGCTGCATGTCTCTGCAGTTGCTACTGCCGGGGCTCTTGGTTGCCTCTGAAACAAGAGTCTTTTTCCATCCTCCTCGCAACAGCCACCGTTTGATGCGACATCTTTCCTTTTGGGCAGAAATGAGGAAACAAATATAACAAGGAAAAACACTGAACAGGAGAAAAAATGAGGTCGAACGACTGTTACCTTGTTGCTGAAGGTTGGGGTTGGTGTTTTATTTTTTTCCCAGCAGTTGTCTGGAGGAGGAGGAGGAGGAGGAGGAGGAAGAGTGCATTGGTGGAGATGGAGGGGTGTGTGTGCATATAGGGGATCCTTGGTACACAACCAACTCCAGTGGGCACGCTGTGCGGCTCGTAGGGTGCACGGCTAAAAAAAATTGCAGCGGGCGCTCGCTCGCGCCCTGGTTTGCGCGCTCTCTTCCTCCCTCACTTTCCCTCTTCCTCCCGCTCCCCTTTCGCCCGCCCGCCCGCCGGCGCTCGATCTGACAGTTCGCTCTGCGTCCCTCCCTCTCTGAGCGGGGACTGTCGAATGTTTACCCTCCGCCGCGAGCGCGCACCCACCACCACACTTTCCCAAATACAAGGAAGTCGAGCACCAGGGCCCCCGCTGATTGGCTACCTGCTGGGTGATTGGCAGGCCCGGAATGACTGGCTCCGGACGCGAGGCCCCCCTTCCGGCCGTTCCGATTGGTTGCTTTTTAATTTAGGCAGCGCGTCGTCGACGCTGGAAAGCGGCGGTCCCCCAGGCTCCCGCCCCCTCGCCACTTTCTCCGCCCCGCCCCTCTCCCGCCACCCCTTCCGCCACATCTTAACTCTTAGTGTCCGGCCGAGTGGTAGGCGTACCCTCCGCGGCTCGGGGCGTTCGCTGCAGGCCTGGCAGGAGGGAAGGAACGGGGAGAGAAAAGGGACCGAGAGGGGCAGGATCAGAGGGAAACAAAGGGGGAAATCCATGCAATACAGCCACCAGCCCACTCCACCCAGGACTGCGTCGCGTTGCAGCCCTCGCGCCTCTCCCACCCCGCAGACTTGGGAAGCGCCGGGCGAGGGTGCACCTTTTGAGCTAATACCTATAGACAGAGCTGTCCCCAGTGGTTTCAAAGTTTCCTCTTTCCGTCGCCAGCCGGCCCCCGTCTCCGTCTCAGCGGGGGTGGGAAAGGGGAGCTCGCAGCGCCCAGAGCTCGGGTGGCGGCCAGGCTTCTTGGAAATCCGCCACCGCAACTTTCCGC